AGATCTGGTGCCCTCTGCTGGTGTGCAGATATACATGGAAGCAGAATGTTGTATACATAATAAATAAATAAAATCTAAAAACAACAACAACAACAACAACAACAAACCTTAAAAAAAGAGAAAGGTTCAGAAAGTGGGGGATAAATTACCTTTCTGGGCAGTAGAGGAAATTAATACCATCCTATAAACTTATGGGTACAAAAAGAGAGACTTTCATTTGTTTTTTCCTACCTCAAAATTAAAAAGCAAGACATATACCTGGATAAAAGTCTACCTGTAGGTTAGGGAATATTGGCAGTTTGCTGTTATCAATCCCTTCACCCAGAAGCAACTATTGCAACAAGTTTCTCTTTTGTCTTCCCAGAGATTCCCAGTCACACGTGGGCTCCTTCAAGAAGCTATTGCTGACTTAGTGGTCCTCAGGTGTCTGCAGCGGATGCTGTCAGGGTCCTCGCACCATGAGACACCCATCCTCCTGCTGCCATGAGCTTTGGTTGTTAATGGCTCACAGTTGTCCCTATTCTCCAGAGGAGACCCTTCAGAAGAGTGTGGCCTGCCCTGCTATTCTGCTTCTGTCCCACATCCTCAGGCCACTCGTACTTAATAACTGACCAACACTAGAACATAACATAAGAGAATCAATGCCTTTGCCTCAAGGCTGAGCAAGCATGTAGAATAATTTTTGCTTCAGAGCTGGGTTCTAGCTGACGCTTGTCTCTAGCAGAGACCACACCGATACTTTCCTCTGTCATCTCCATATTCTGTTTCTTTCACCCCATCTTCTCTTGAGAGCAAGAGTCTTGTAAGCAGATCTCTACTTCAGCCCCCATTTCTAGGAAGCCACCAGCAGCAGGTATTCCTAGGAAGCAGACTAAAGATGGGATTCTCAAGAGGACAGGATGGTAGCCAGGACAAGTCCCATTGCTAGGCAACAGCAAGCCATCCCATGGCTAGTTTCTGGAGTATTAATAGTACCTGGGATACTGTGGCAGATGACTTTGCTGAGCAAGAGAAGGGTGCAGGAGAGGAAAGTGCATTAGCTGATGAAAGCTTTGGTGTCTGACAGGTTTGAATACTTACTGTAAGGACTTGGAGATGGATGGCAAGCAATAGATTAGAGTTGGAAGGCAGGCTCAGCAGAATTTTAAAAGGTTTTTGTCACCTGCTTCCAAACTGAAAACTAGGTGTAGCCTGGAACTTTTGAGCTGGAAAGATTCTCATCTTGGGCATATTTCCAATGCCAAAGTTGGAACCCTGACACAGAAACAGCAGAACCTTGAGCCTTGGGTGAGGCTCTCTTGAGAACCTTGATGCCTCAGATTCAAGCCGGCCTCTTTGACTTGATGGAAGATACAGGGCCTACTTGGGTCTGTGGGTCAAAGCTCATCTTGATGATAAGAGAGGGAAAGGACCTGCAAGGCTTTTTTCATAGTGGGAGGATTATGCCTGGGTGTGCAGCACAAGGCTATGATTAAGGAGGAACAGAATATAAAGTGGGAATAGGAGAATTTAACCAGTCATGGGAACATCCCCCACAGAAAAGGGTTTCATACTGTGGTCAGAGCTCTGGGAACTAATTTTAACATACTACTGGGATGGCTCTTTAAATCTGGGGGATGCAAATGGTTACATTAATGGAGATGCCAGAACTCTCATGGTACAATGTGGATGTAGGAATGAAAAACATTACAGAAGCTTCAAACACGCTGACCAGAAGACTTTCTGGCTTACTGTGTCCCTCAGAAAGGGCCTGGATGCTGTTGCGCATCAAGGTGATGAAAGATGCCTGGCTTGGGACTAACAGCATCATTGAGAAAGCTCTGAGGTGTTTGTCTCCTAAAAGCAGGACAGGGCTAATGGGAAAGATGTTATAAAATGGGATCCTTTAGCAGCACTGGAGAATAATAGATGTCAGAATAGCAGAGACAACTGAGAAGCAGTGGCAATCTAATTACCCTAATGGGTAGCAAGGTCTAAGTGGCAGCCAGGGGTCTTGACCTGACCTTATGAAGATGGCTGATGGAACATAGCATATATTTTAAGCAGGAGATACGTGGGCAGACAACAAGGGTACTGTCTAATATATAGTCTCAACAGATCAGGGATGAGTAAAAGGGTGGGGTCAAACATCACCCCAATGGAGAATTGTAATCTGTTGCACAATTTCAGGACCTGAGCTTATCAAACTGCAAGGACTGAAGGAGCGACTGTTATACATGAGGATCCAGCACACATGTTTCTTTGGTCCATATATATATATATATATATATATATATATATATATTTATATCCACATTAAATAACCACAGACTGGGGGAAGAGAAGTACTCTGAGTTTTTTGAGAAACTTTGGCTAAGGGTTCTAAGTTGATGGGGCCATCTATGATTTCTAAGTATCCTTCCTCCTTTCATTACTCTCCCTTATCTGCTATTAGAATAGAACACTATTGAATTTAGATAATAAAGAAGAGTCCTCACCCAGGTCTGTCTTAGTGGGTCTCCTGGATCCTGTCACCATCCTTAGTGGCCATGTCTCCACTTGCTGAATATGTCACTGGAGTAGGTATACTTAGATGTTGACTGATGTCTCACACAGGTGCTCAGCCTGAAGAGTAAGATCTATTAAAGCAGAAAAGGCTAAACAAGCACCCTCAGAACTGCCCCTTGCTCTCCCCTAACAACTAAGTAAACAAAACCAGTTTTACATCCAAGGGAAGATAACATTCATATGGGGTAGACTTGTGCAGTTTTGCTACAAGGCTGTGCTTATTTTCCTGTTTCCCATCCCAATGTATTCCAAAGGGACCCAGACCTCTTGGCATCTCATTGGTCTACCATATTGAAACATCATGCCAGTCAGGTTTGATTTGTCTAAAACTCAAGTATTTTGGATGCCCTGATGAGAAACATGCATTCCAGAGGTTGGATAAAGCTCACAGAAATTTAAGAATTGGTTACATGGATGACAATTTTAAATAGCAAGTATTATTCTTTAATAGAGAGATGGAAAAAGATAGGGACTTTCTTCATGTTCTCTCTCTGTTAATCTCTTGTGTAAACTAGAATAGGTAGCAAAACAAAGACAATAGTTGGGTGGGGAGCCTGAAGAAGGAGGGTGGGGAGCCTGAAGAAGCTGTGTGATTAAGGTCAACCTATTACTTGGTGAGCTGAGTGTCAGTTTCGGTAACTTAGTGAGATCCCGTTTCTCAATAAAAATTAAAACAATAGAAAATGGTCTGAGGAGAAGCCAGGTGGTGGTGGCACATACCTTTAATCCTTGCACTTAGATCTCTGTGAGTTGGAGACCAGCCTGGTCTACAAGAGCTAGTTCCAGGACAGGCTCCAAAGCCACAGAGAAACCCTGTCTGGAAAAACAAACAAAAAGCCCAAAACAAAGCATCAATAACAAAAGAAAAGAATATGCAAGGTCCTGGGATCAATCTTGAGTACTGGACAAATAACAAGACAAAGAAAATAATCTTCACACAATGCTATTATTTAGCTCATGGACCTTATTTGGGTGGTTGAAGAGGTCCAGTGGTCTTGGCCCTGTCAAGGCATTTGCTCCCAAATGAAGAACAAGTTTCTGTAGCTTGCATCTTTTACTGCCAAAAGAGCCTAAAACTTGGATGATGTTTTCAGGTTTAAGATCAGCATACTTCGAGTTGTCTACTAGCAGTTCCTGTGGACAGCAGGTACTTACGAAGAGGAGTCAGAAGAGGGGTCAGAACGAGAACTGATGCGGTCCATCCGTCAGTCCAGTCTCTCCAGCTACATTACCTGGCATGTAATTACATTTTAGCACACAAGAGAAAGCTCCAGCAGAGGAAACACTACATACAGCCTCCTCAAGTCCTCCAAGAACTCACAGTAAATCCCTGAGAGGTTCCAGGGGATCGCCACGTTCATCCGAAAACAACGACAAGCCCTAAAAAACTAAGAATTTCCAGAACTATGACAAAAATTAGGTCCATCCTGTAGGGAGACACGGCGTGGTTACGATGTCTTCCTACACCATCCAACCTCATAGGGATAACTGCATTTTGTGTTTGTTTGTTTTAGTGCTCGTGTTCTCCTTTGTTGTATTTTTCATTTTTCTAACACGATTTTGGCACATCTCAAATATTAAACAAAAGGAAAGGAGCGTAATGCTGATTCTGTGCAGGAAGGTACCTTGCACTCCTCTTTAAAAATTCAAGGTCTTGCTCGGTGGTGGTAGTGGTAGTTGCGCATACATTTGACCTAGCTCTTGGGAGGCAGAGGCAGGAGATCTCTGTGAGTTCGAGACAAGCCTGGTCCGCAGAGCTAGTTCTGTGACAGCCAGGGGTACACAGAGAAACCTTGCCTCGGACCCCCCCCCCAAAAAAAAATGAAGTGGGCTGTCCAGGGGAGGGAAAGTTGAGAGCTGAGTCAACACCATTGAATTTGCAACAGTTGGGTGCCAGGAGCTGTGTGGATTTGCCCTTTCATTTAGGGCAAGAAAACAAGGCTTGTAAATTAGTGCCTCGGATTTGTTTTCCATTGGGCAACCTCAAAGGTCGAAGGTGCCTTTAGTTTACGCCATCAAGAACCACCTAGAACCATCTGGAACGACTGGGTTCTACAACTGGCTTGATGCTAATTTGCTATTTGATTTGGGGCGTAAAAAATTAGGCTTTTAAGTTGAGCGCTCCATATTTGTTATCCCTTGTGCAGCAACTGGGTTCCCCGGAACAGAGAGGGACCTCCGCTGAGTTCCGATCTGTTTCCCGCCGCTCTACCCGCCTTGCTTTCCTTGCCAGTCATCTGCAGCAGGCCAGACCATGATCTGGGCACGGCCCCTTTAAAGGAGCCTAGACGACGTCAGGGGTCTCTCCGGGTTGCGGAGCAGGGGCGGAGCGCCCCTCTCAAGGGCTTCTACGCAGCCGGGGACGCCTCTGCGTCACAGCGCCCGCAGCCAATCAGGGTGGAGCCTGGCGGGACGCATTACTAAGGCGACGGTCTCGACGCCTCCCCGCTTCGGGAAGGTTGTGACCCCCGTGGAGTGGCAGTCTCTGTCCAGTGTCCCCGCGACGTCGCGCGTTTTCTCCGGCGTGCCCAGGGTGCGCGGCCCGCGCGGTGTCAGGTGCGGGGAACATGGCGGCGGTCAGGGGACTCCCCGAGTGGGCGGAGGGGGAGCTGCGGCGTGGCCGCTTTGCCCGAGCGCAGCGCACGCTCCCTCGGGTGGGCCGGGGGGACAGCCCCTCGTGGGAGTTGGGTGGCGGGTTAGGGCGAGCGGCTCTACAGAGGCGGAGGCCTCCGGAGCCGAGCGGGCTACGGGACGAGGGGCGCCCCGTCTGTACCCACGGGCAGGCACCTTCCCGTCCACACCACAGCTTGGCGGCCCCAGGAGCTGCTGGGTCCCTAACGCCACCTAAGGTGTGCCAGGTGCCAGGTCCCAGGGGCACCAAGTTCCCCAGGGGCCGCCACGTGGGAAACCCACGAGAAAGCTGTCCAGGGCTCAAGCTGCCTGTTTGCTGCGGGTGCTGGAGGTGTGCACTAGGTTTCGGTGGCAGCGCCACAGAAGGGAAGGTAGGCCACTTGAGAGGCCGACGACGAGTCTGAATTTTCTGTCCACTTTTTTGAGGACATGCCTTCGCTAAGGGCAGGCCTGCCTCTGCTCTGAATTGGTGCGGTAGTAGGCGTGCCTTACCACGCCCACCTGGCAGGTGTAGTCTTTTAGGGTGTGTCTTACGTCTGAGATTATGTTTGACCAGAAACAATAAAGACATTAGGTGTTTTCTTGTGGTTGTGGAGCTGTTTTGTTTTCTCGTCCTTTCTTGCAGCATTAGTTGACTTTGAAGTTCACGTGCTGTATTCCATGCGCTTTGAATGGCCGCAGAGAAACCTGGGTTTGGCAATTCAGTTTAAGTCCACGAAAAATATTGAAAAAAATGTCGGTGAAGGGATTACCAAGATAAATGCTTCCCATTTATGTCTTCCACTTATTTCGGCAAAGAAATATCTTGTCATAAAAAGTTTAAATAGTTGGGCTACTTAATAAAAAACTATTTTGGTGAAAGGCTTTGCAAAATTTGTGTGTTTAAAAATATTTTTATTTGTGTATGTGAGGCTGCATTAGTTTATATGCACCATGCAAAGTGGAGACTTCCGGGAGCTGGAGTTACAGATGTTTTTGAGTCACCAATGTGGGTGCTGGCAACCCAACCCTGGTCTCCTAAACAGCAGTAAGTGCTCTTAACCATTGAGCTAGAGATCCAGCACTTAAACTTGTGCATTTTTGAATTAGTAAAAGAATTGAAAACTCACAGGAGCACTTAGCTTCAGTCATCAATAGCTGCTGTCACAAGTGCCCAGTGTACATCTGGCTCTGTGATTTCCACATGGCTTCTACCTTTAGGTTGAACAAATGTTGGGGTCCCTCTTTTTTCACCAGGTCTAAAGTCTGGCTACTGCAGATGTCAGGAGGGGGGCTCTTCTAAACTGAATTTGGGGAGATAGGGTCAGTTTGATCTGGGTTTGGAGTTGAGATTATATGTAGTGATAACTAAGTTGCTTCTTAAAAATACAGTGGTTATGTAACTTCCGTGGGGTGTTTTGTCTCTAAATGGAGATGACAGTTCTTGGCCAAGCAGTGTTCATTGAGGTTTTGGGAGGGGAGCAGTGCATATAAAAGACTTAAAAACAGTGGTAAGAATCGAGATGTTCGATACTCTGCCTGGCAGTGTGTTAAGGGCCTGGTAAGTCTCAACTTAGTCACTCAACACTAGTGTAAAGTGGTTACTTTGCAACAGATGAGGAAATTGGAGCACATTGAAGTTTAAGTCATTTGCCCTAAACTATGCAGCTAGCATTGTGATCCAGTTTGTGACCCTACCCTGCCCCCTTTTCTTTCTTGTACTGAGGATTGAAAGCAGGGGCTTGCACATGCTAAGCAAGTGCTCCATCACTGAACTATCTTCTCTTTTTATTTTGAGATAGGGTCTCACGATTGCCAAAATTAGCCTTGAACTCATTCTGTAGCCCAGGAAGGTCTTGAACTTGGATCTTCTTCCTGCCTCAGCCCTCTGAATAGCTGAAATTATAGTCCTTGCCCCACAAGGCCTGGCTCCTGTGTTCTTCCATACTGTCACTATATGCAACCCTGATTAAATTCTTTGAGAAAATAATTTGTTGGATGACTTTAAAAACATACAAACAAAAGCTGTGTAATCCTAGCACTTGGGAGTTTGGGGCCACCCTGGTCTACAAAGCCAGCTCCAGGACAGGCTTCAAAGCTACAGAGAAACCCTGTCTCAAACAAACAAACAAACAAACAAACAAACAAAGCTAGTTTTAGTACAGTTCATTGCTAAGCTATACTAATAATTTTCTTAAGTTTTTGTCCCCCCCCCCCTTTCTCTTTTGAGACAGGATTTCTCTGTGTAGCCCTGGATGTCTTGAAAATTACTCTGTAGAGCTGGCTTGACATAAACTCACAGAGATCTGCCTGCCTCTGCTTCCCGAATGCTGGGATATTTTCTCAGTCTTTATAGAAAAAAATGACATAAATAGAAGTGGCTGTGACAGTCATTTTTCATTAACTCTTTCTGGACTCTTGCTGCCTTAGTGGAATGTAAAATTAATTCCTCATCTAATCCTTGAGTTCAAGGAGAGGCCCAAGTCCAATCTGAAGATGAGGGGAAGGGATAGATGATTAACTTACAGTGTGCCATGCACTCAGATGTAACAGTATAGATATAGAGAATTGTGGGAACATGTGCTGGGATGGGCCTAGCTCAGTGAGGAAGGGAGCTAAGCAGAGCTGGAGAGACACCGGCTTCCAGAAGTGCACAGGGGGGAATTCTGTCAAGTCAGGATAAAGGGAGAGTGTGTATCCTTTCAGGGAGAGAAACAGGAAAAGTTAGGTCCAGGCTGTGGATTCTCGGCTAAGACTGATTTTATGCTGTTGGCAGTAAGGATTTCATAAACAATTTAAATCTAGAGTTACGCTAGGGTTCTTTTCTGTCAGATGACTAATCAGAGTTCCCTGGCAAGAGGAACCTCAGGTGAGAAAATGCCTCCATCAGATGGCCTGTAGGCAAGTCTGTAGGTCATATTCTTGATTAATGATTGATGTAGAAGAGCCCAGCCTGCTTGTGGGTGTTGGTGTCCCTGGACAGATGGTCCTGATTTGGATAAGAAGGCTGAGCAAGCCACGGGAAGCAAGCCAGTAAGTAGCATTTCTCTTTGGCCCCTGCTTCAGTTCTTGCCACTAGGTTCCTGCCCTGACTTTCCTCAGTGACATACTGTGACAGAGTTGTAAGTCTAGATGAACCCTTTCTTCCTTAATTGGTTTTGGTCATGGTGTTTTATGGCAGCAGTAGAAATCCTAACTAAGACATGGAGTAATGTGATCAACTCTTTGTTCTGCTTGTTTGTCTATTTATTGAGATTTTGAGGCAAGGTCTCACTTTATAGCTGAGGTTGGCTTGAGCCTTGCTATGTAGATGGCTTCAAGCACAAGGTTATCATGTGTTAGGATTACAGACTAATACAAAGTTCCATACCTCGGTATGTTCTGGAGAGGTGTCTGTGGTAACAGAATGTAAAGGAGGACCAGTTAAGGGCAGTTTCATAATCTGGGCTTGGTATACAGCCTGGCCATGAGCTGGGGCAGAGCTGAGGTCAGATTCCTTATGTTTAGAAATCAGAATAGAATGTGAGGTGGATTGGGTGTGAAGAGCAGGAAGGTGTAAGAGGCAGAGGTGGAACTCCTACAAAACAAAAGTTGTGTATTTTATAACTAATGCTTGGAAATTGGAGGTCCTGTTGACTAATATAAGGAGAGGTTAGTGATTCTTTGTGAGGTTTCCCCTTGAGATTGTTTTGAGTGAAATTATTTTTCTGATTACTTTCTCAGTGAGGTGTTTTTTGTTGTTTTTTGTTTTTGAGACAGGATTTCTCTGTGTAGCACTGGCTGTCCTGGAGCTCATTCTGTAGACCAGGATGGCCTTGAACTCAGATCTGCATGCCTCTGCATCCTAAGTGCTGAGATTAAAGGCTTTGCTCCCCTGAGTTTTTTTTAATTGATGTATGAAAAGCTACAGGTTCTTGTGTGGTTTTGTGTCTTACTGGAAAGGTTTTTCAGAGCTCAGACTTGTCTTATGGAATCTTTCTGGTTTTCAATTGTAAGATCATATCTGCAGTAGGTATAGCTGAGCTGCTTTATTATGAGTGTCCCTTTTGTTTCTTTCTCTTGCCTTATTTCTCTATGATCTCAAACACTATATTGAATAAAAGTAGTGAGAATGGATACTTAGGATGTGAACATACTTTGTCATTCAGCCAACCATAGTAACATTTGTTAATTTGTGTTTATAAGTGAAGAAACAAAATTGATTGCCTAAGGTTACAAAGTTTGGAAATGTTTGCAATTCTTTCTCTCTAACCTCCTTCCTTTCAGAAACTAGGAATATGCAGAGCCATGTGCAGTGATATGTGCTGGTGGTCATAGCACCTCAAGACTGAGGCAGGAGGATTGGTACTTTGAAGCTCCTCTGGTTCACATGGTGAATTCCAGCTCACTCTGGGCTACATAATGAGACTTATCTCAAAAAACCAAAACATACACACACAGCCAGGATACAGAACAGTTTTCCCATAAGGCCTCATTCTGTCACCTTTGATGGACATGTTCCTTCCCTTCCCTGACTTTTGACAAGAACCAATCTGTTTTCTGTTTTTACAGTTTTGTCACTGAAGGAATGCTATTCTAGTGGATTTAAACAACATTCAGTCCATGGGATTTGGCTTTTTTCCACCCCCCTTTGGCATAATTCTCTCTGGATTCATTGTAGTTATGCATGTTCTTTTCTCATCCTTGCGTTCCTTAGTCTCTCAGCACTCCTTCATAGGGATGCACACACTGAAGGGCATCTGTGTTATTTCCAGCGTTTGGCTCTTAGAAACAAGCTGTTATGAACATTTGTGTATGTTTTTATGTGAATGTAAATTTTTATTTCACTGGAGTAAATATGCAACAGTGTAATTGCTGGGCCATATGGAGGTTGTGTAGCTATATGGGCTTATTTCTGAGCCCTCAACTCTTTTCCCTGGATCTGTTTGTTTTTTCATGTCAGTACC